CCCCCGCAGGCGCTCCCACCTCTGCTCCGCAGCGCGGGAGGCCCCAGCACATCTCCCCAGCTGGCGGCTGGGGAACCATCTCAGCGAGGCACCTGGTTGCCAAAGTTGGACTACAAAAGTCCTAGAAGACCGAGCAGAGCCCTCGGCCACGCTGCAGTCCTCGCAGTGGCTTGGCTCCACATCGCTACCGCTCTCATTATGGGATGGATGAGCAATGGAGGAGTGCGTGCTTGTCTGATAGTGTGGCTGGCTGACTCACCGACAAATGCCTGTGCCTTTTCCATGCAGAGATGCTTCTGAGGGACAGAGTCTTAGGGACGAGGAGTCAGAGCCCCGAGAAGGGACGTAACCTGGAGCAACAACATCTTTTCCCACTGGGGCCTGAACATCCCGGCAGCTGGAGGGCAGGTGGTGGGGGCACATATACCCTTTTTCCCCCCTCCTCGTCTTCTGCACCCTACCCCAATCTCTGGGAGATTTTTACATGCCACAAGCGCAGCCTGGTACAGTCACACTGAGCAGCTGTGCACTGATACCATGCAGCTAGGTGGTGTGAACTGGGCACCACTCCAGGCAGCAGAGAAAAGCTAACAGGAACACTAATGGGAACCAGCTGAGAACCAGTGCACAGCTCCAATCCCTTCCCAAGGAGTTCTTGCAACAGCAGTTGCAAGCTCCAGTGCATTTCCCTTAACTCCCAATTTTTTTTTTTTTTAATTAAAAACATATACACGCACAAGCTGCTGCTGAACACTGACCACCCTCCAATGCCTGGAGACAACCTGGATACCAGAAAGCTGGGGTCTTTTATGAATATAAGTCTCTACACTATCAGCGCAACTGAGGCACGTTGTCCCCTCTGCTGTGCGCTAGGTGCTGTACAAACACGGAGCCCAAGACATTTGCTACCCTTAAAACTTTGCAGTCTGAGGAACTCTGAGCTTCCTGCCTATTACCATCTACCCTTTCATATGTATTTTCCTGCAGCTTCTTGTATTTAATTACACTTGGCTATTAATACATTTTTAATGACACTCCAGGCACATGAGAAGCATGTGTTTTTAGAGGACATGTACACACACATGCATGTATTTAAGCGCATCCAGGCCCAGGGCTTCCCCACTCCTGTGCCCACGACCAGGAGCCCACTGGCGACACAGAACACCACCAGGCTCATGCTTCCAGCCCAGATGTGGTACCTCGGGGCAGAGGCGAGGAGGGCAAAACAGTCGGGACACCAGTGCCACTCACCAGCAAGCCCCATGCAGACCTGCTCATCTCTCTCAGCCGCTGCAGCAAAACCCTGCCAACTTGTGACAACCAAGCCCTGCACTGAATCCCACCTCCCACCCCAACTCGAACATCTGAAGCAAGAGACCCGGCAAAGGTGCGAGCCCCCAAGTAACCTCAGCGAGGACCGGCTCCAGGGAACAGTTACCCCCTGTGGCTGTGGGACCCAACAGCACCGCAGGCAGGGGTGCAGCACCCGCAGGGGTGACTCTGCAGGAGCACAGTGCATAGGCTGCCCCCCCCCCCAGCCTTTCCGACCTCGGCAGTCCTGAGGGACCCTGGGGACACACTTGCACTCGCAGTCATGGTTCAGCAAGTGCCCCAAGAGGTCCCCAAAGCCTGCTGGGGGCTTGGTGCTGGAGACCTTTGCACAGCTGATCAGTCCCAGCTATACTCCCAGACTGGGGGAGATGCTATACTCTCCTTGGCAGGCCCTATAGCCCCCCTAAGATGGGTCATACAGCAGCCCTCAGGCAGGCCCTACAGCCCTGCCAGGCAGACCCTATAGCCCTCCCAGTGTGCACCCTACAGCCACCCCCAAGGATGGACCTACAGCCCCAAGGGTGTACTCGATAGCCCCCTCAGGCAGGACCTATAAGTCCCCCCGGGTGGGCCCTACAGCAGCCACCAGGTGAGCTCCATAGCCCCCTCGG